AAAACAAAAAACAAAAAAAATAAAATTTTTGATGAAACACAGCTATAAGTTTCCCTCTTAGAAATGCTTTTTATGTGTTCTTTTTTATTTAAATTATTTAATTACAACTCATATTTACATATCCATTCCCCCTTTTTATGTGTTCTTAAGGCTCTGGCAATCTAGAATCATTTTCATTTGATTCTAGGAATCTTTAAATATCCTCCCCAATTTCTTCAACAACTCATTGGTCATTTACAATATACTGTTGGATATTTATGTTTTTACAGTTTTTGTAATTTCCTCCTGCTGTTAATATCCAGTTTTATATGCATCAATGCAGGCACATCCATGTTTCGGGGAGGGGTATGTGTGTGCACATAAGTGTGTATAGGTCACAGGACAATTTCAAATATCTCCTTCCACTTCATTTGGTATAGGGCTTCTTGTTGGGATTATAGATTCATGTTACTGTGTCCAGTTTTTGTGGGTTCTGGAGATCCAAACTCAAGTTATGTTGGTACATGTAGATCTTGCTTATACTCTAACAAATGAAGCTTGCCTGAAGATCAGAGGGTAGAGCTTGCCACTAGCTAACCATAGAGGTCTGGAGGTCTATACAGACAGACAGTAAGTGATATGGCTAGATAGAGAGATGAAGTGATAAGGTGGGAGGAGACAGGAGTTCATTCTCTTTTTGGCTGGGAAGTTGAGTAGGTAAGGTGACTGTGGTTTGCTTCTTCCCCTATCTCTCAGCATTTCCCCCTATATCTGACACCAGGCTTTTATTATTAAGAGCTATTAGAACTCATGCTACAAGTGCATCAAGAACTTCACCCACGGCTGGGTGTTGGTGGCATATGCCTTTAATCTCAGCACTCAGGAGGCAGAGGTAGGCAAATCTCTGTGAGTTTGAGGCCAGCCTGGAACAAAGTGAGCTCCAGGACAACCTCCAAAGCAATACAGAGAAACCCTGTCTCGAAAAACCAAAACCAAACCAAAATAAACAACAAAAACAGAACTTCACCCAATGAGCTATCTCCCCAGCCATGGATATTGTTTAAATCTAGTCAGCTAGTGTGTGTCTTTTAATTGTGGAATTAAGGCCATTTACATAATTATTAAGAGGGGTCCTACAATTTTGTTCCTTGTTTTCCTGCTTGATTGGCTAGATTATTGTTTGTTCTTTTCTTTTTCCCATTTGTGTCAGGGTTTGACTGGTTTAGTGAGTGAGACACAGTTCTTTCCTAGCTTCTTGCCTTTGCTCCTGTATTCTTCTTACGAACTGTTCTTTCATATAGTCTCATTGTCTTTCTTTTCCCTTCGTCTAAGGCCCTTTCAGTAATCTTCTGCAGTACTGGCTCAGTGGTCATGAATTGCTTTAGTTTGTGGATGTTTGTAAATGCCTTGATTTCTCTTAAAGTATCTTAAAGTTAAATTGTGCTGGATATAGCAAATTTGGTTAATTTATTTACTTTCTTTTTTTTCTTTTTACTTTTTTTAAATTTGAATTACAAACAAGATTGAATTACATGACAATCCCAGTTCCCTTCTCCCTCCCTTCCTCCCCTACTACCCACCAACTAAAACCCTGTCACATATCCTTTCATCTAATCTACACATGAATCAACCTTTTTGCTCCCTCATGACCTCTGCATCCTTCCTTTTCTTCCCTTCTCATTCTCATTGCTCCCTCCCTCTTCTTCCCATGTTCTCAATTTGCTCAGGGGATAGTTACCCTTTCCCCTTCTCCAGGGGACAAAGTTTGTCTCTTTTAGGGTTCTACTTGTTTACTAGTTTCTCTGGCAGTGTGGATTGTAGGCTGGGAATCCCTTACTCTATGTCTAAAATCCACATATGAGTGAGTACATATGTTTGTTTTTTTTGTGATTGGGTTACCTAGCTCAGAATGGTTTCTTCGAGTTCCATCCATTTTCCTACAAATTTCAAGATTCCATTTTTTTTTCTGCTGAGTAGTACTCCATTGTGTAAATGTAACACAATTTCTCTATCCATTCTTCGGCTGAGGGGCATCTCGCCTGCTTCCATTTTCTGGCTATTACAAATAGTGCTGCTGTGAACATCTTTGAACAGATGTCTTTGTTGTATGAATGTGCTTCTTTTGGGTATATGCCTAAGAGTGGAATTGCTGGATCTTGTGGTAGACTGATTCCCATTTTTTTGAGGAGTCGCCATACTGATTTCCAAAGTGGCTGTACAAGTTGGCACTCCCACCAGCAGTGGAGAAGTGTTCCCCTTTCTCCACATCCTCTCTAGCATAAACTGTCATTAGTGTTTTTGATTTTAGCCATTCTGACAGGAGTCATTCCATGCTTTCCTGGATGTTAAGGTTCCAGTTGAAAAGTCTAATGTTGTTCTTATATGTTTGTTTTTTGATCTGGTGGGTTTTTTTCCCATACAGCTTTTAACAGTGCTTCTTTGTTTGGCATAGTTTGCATTGTGACCATGATGTACTGGAGGCATTTCTTCTCTGGACAGATCTATTTTGGGCTCTAAATGTCTCTCATGCTTAGATGTCCATTTCTTTCCAAAAATTTGTGAACTTTTCAGCTCTAATTTCATTGAACAGGCTTTCTGTACTTTACGTTTTCTTCAGCTCCTCCATAGTCTCTTGATCACATCTTAGAGTTCTTGGACATTGCTCATTCATGTACTTATTATTAATTAATTATATTATTAATTATTATATATTAATTCTGAGTGTTGTATTTCTTTGAGCATATCCTTCATCTCCTACTTCTCTCTTCTTCTTAGTAAGTCTCTTGGTGAAGCTTGCTACTGATTGTCTATAAATACACATTCACCTTTCCTATTCCAGCCTGGATTTCCTGCTAACTCCTTTGCCTCAGCCTCCTAATGCTAGAGATATAGGCATGTGCCACCATACCCAACAGAACCCATTTTTCCTTGATGAGCAAAGAGATTTGAATAGGTATGCTTGATTTATAAAATAATAAAGATTTTTAGGAAAGGCCAATAAGTACACAAATAGATGTATAATCATTTAGGAAATTCAAATTAATGCCTCAATGACACCAGGCATTGTAGTATATGCCTATGATTCCAGGATTTAGAAAGCTGAAGCATGAAGATTAAAAGTTCCAGATCAGCCTCATAACAAAACCTTGTCTCCAAGAAAAAAATCAGTTCTGTTTGATTTCTAACTATTTAGAATGTTGGTCAGGCTGTAAACAGACTTCCATCCTGAAATAGTTCTGGCACATACTAGTGGGTATGACATATTAGCAGCTCCAGAAGGAAGGAATGATGTTTGCAGTTTAAAGAACACTTTTACATTACTTGGCTCACATGATCATCAAAATTCTTAATTCTTAAAGTTGCTTTTGCGTCAAGACTATGAAAAGAGAACAATAATAAATTACTAAGGTTAGTAATGCCAGCTTTGTATCTATGTCCTTTAAAAACAATTGTGAGGTGCCCTGGCATAAAACTATGGTAAGTTTGCCATCTCCTGGAAATAAAAGTATGCATTACTTATCACTCTTAACTGTAGTAATAGCTTCTATTTTTCTATCGACTACTAGGTAATATATATTTCTTCTAAAATAGCAAGTTTTCAAAATCTAGGTCTTCCTTTGAGATAAAATAAGTAGCCATCCAGAACAGCATCTATTGCCAAGGAAATAGTTTTGAACTGGCTGTGTTAAGACAGAACTCTTTTTGTCTTTGCAGACAAATTAGTTTCCCTGGATTTATTTTTGCCCACTAGTCTTTTGGGTATCACTACAGATTCTAGCTGATGTCTGTCTTCTGTTTCAAAGATGCTGTTAAGCTTGTGAGAGGTGATCCATCGAAGCAGATCACATACTCCAGGAAGCCATAATTCTGTTGAAAGTGAAGGGGTAAAATTTAAGTGATAAGATTCCAATATCACTGGACCAGCAGCAGTTTGAGAGAGAGAAATGGTTGTTAAAAGGTGATCAACATGTTGGTGAGTTCCCAAGATCTTTCCAAGCATCCTTGATTCCCTCACCCAGTTGTTTTGACTAATCAAAGGCATCATAATCTTGGATTTCATTTAGCATCACAAGTATAGCATTGCTTTCTCATTTTAGAGAAAGGGTGTGCTAAGAATTGTAGCCAGAAGGGTTCCAGATGCAAAGATGGATGGATGGATGGATGGGTGGATGGATAGATAGATAGATAGATAGATAGATAGATAGATAGTAGATAGTAGATAGTAGATAGGTAGATTGATCTCCCCACTTTCTTTTTCCTTTCTCCCCCGTCTCAGCAAGATCCCACATATCCTGGGCTGGCCTTGAACTCACTGTGTGGCCAAAGATTAGCTTGAAATCCTGATTCTCCAGCCTCTACCTGCTGAATGCCTCGTGAGAGGCAAGCACTCTATCAGCTGAGATACATCTCCATTTCCAAGATCATTTCGTTTTTTACAGATCATGACACATAAATTTCTTTCCTCATAGAAGGGGCTCATTTGGGATTGGTACCGGAAGATGGTCCAAGTGATAACGACTTTTCTTTCTTTCCTTCTCCTTCTTCTATTTATTTATTTATTTATTGAGTTTTTTTTTTCCAGACAGGGTTTCTCTGTGTAGCTTTGGAGGCTGTCCTGGAACACACTTTGTGTAGACCAGGCTGGCCTTGAACTCACAGAGATCCTCCTGCCTCTGCCTCCCGAGTGCTGGGATGCTGGGATTAAAGGTGTGAGCCACCACCACCTGGCTCCCCTAATGCTTCTTATCCCTAAATCAAACACATTTTTTTATAACACGATTGCCAATAATGAGATAGTAATTTCTCTGGAATCCAATGATGACTTTGTGGCAACACTGATTAAACTAAAAATCATGAAGCTTATACAAACAATAAAATGTTCTGTTATCTATATGTTTCTTTGCCTAAAAAGGTAAAGTTTTTTACTCTCTTTTTGTCTTTAAAACTGCAATCTAGGGACCGAAAAGTAATAGAATCCAAGTAGATCACATTCCCACATGGTGGCCACAGTCATCTCCTACCTTGCATTTTCTGTCCTTCGGCTTATGCACTGGTGCAAGTAGAGATACTCCTGAGGTGCACTGGTAGACAAGGCAGGCTGGATGTGGCTTGACACAGGGGGCTCAAATGTGAATAACGTGGGCTGGCTAGAGTGTGAAGGGGCTGAGGACTTCCTTTCTCGGAGCAGGTGCTGACTGGAGCTGCTGAACTCAGCTGGAGAAGAGCGGGGACCATGACTGACCGAAGAAAGGTTTCTCAGAGAGTCTGAAAAGAAGAAAACTCTGTGAGTGAAAAAGGAAGGGAGCCAGGTTGTGGTGGCACAGGCCTTTAATCCTGGTACTTGAGAGGCAAATGCAGAGGCAGAGGCAGGTGGATCTCTGTGAGTTTGAGGCCAGCCTGGTCTACAGAATGAGTTCCAGGACAGCCAGAGGTACACAGAGAAACCCTGTCTCAAAACAAACAAACAAACAAACAAACAAAAACCCAACCCAAACCAAACCAAAAAGAAAATCCCCAAATGATAAATCAACAACAAAACATGAACAAACAAAAAGGAAATGAGGGGTAAGGTCCTTATCCTAAAGACAATAGTCGGAGGAAGAAAGTATTCTGATGAGAGACAGAAATGTGGCTGCTACATTCTCTTCCTTATACACTCACTCACTCCATCTTCCCAGAGAGGCAGGTTGGACCGCATGGATATCTTGGCTGAATGGGAGATAAGTTAACACCTCTGAACTGCTTAGGAGTAGCCTGAAGGCCAGGCTGTCATGATTCAGACCTGTGTCTACCCCAGAGGGAGTTTACCTATCCACCTCCAGGAGAGTGATGCTGCCATAGAAAAGACTAGATTCTAGCCAGGTGGTGGTACACATCTTCAATTCCAGCACTGGGAAGGCAGAGGCAGCTGGATCTCTGAGTTTGAGGTCATCCTGCTCTGTTACACAAGCAAGAGAGGGAGCAGAAAGGAAGAGAGAGAGAGAGAGAGAGAGAGAGAGAGAGAGAGACAGAGAGACAGAGACAGAGACAGAGACAAGACTAGACTCTGGATGGGTGAGTACTATGTTTCCTTCTTGTTGTTGGCTCCTGTGGCGAGCAGATGAGTTTGGAGTGAATGTATATTGTTGACATGGCTATGACCATGTCAGGACCCCAGTGAATTTGATCCACAAGAATGGCAAAGTCTTCTTCGGGTGAGGCTCAGAAGTATGGATGGCAAGGCTTTCCTGTGGTCTAAGTAACAATGTTTATGAATAACTGACCAGTGTGTGCAAAACTGGCCAGTGTGTGAAAAAAACAAAAACCAAAAAACTAACAACCTCAGCTTCCTCCTTCTGGAGGAACCTAAGACTGCTTCTCTACAGAGACCTCCTTACTCAGACTAGATAACTTCTCCTCCTGCGTTGTACATAATAAACAGCTTTGAGTTTCTGGTTTGCAGGTGTCCATCAGAATGAACACAGCCCATCATATCCCAGCTTTCTGGATGTCTGTATTTTGTTTCTGGTTGGCCTGGAACTCATTATGTGATAGTTGAGTCTCTTAACTCATAGAGATCTGCCTGTCTCTGCCTTCTGAATGCTGGGATCAAAGTTGTGTGTCACCATGCCTGGCTGGCTAACCTTTCTTCATTCTCATGTCACCCAAGTCATGGTTTCTAGGACCAAGCCCTGTAGGCTTCCTGCTGTTATCACCCCCTCGCTTCTGGCTTTGCTAAATTAGACATTGCTTACCTAAGACTCACTGATTGAGGTCCAGAACTGTGCCTTTCTGCAATAATGGTAAAAACACAAATGAATGCTAAGCTGTTCCTTCAGACTAGACCCCTGCTCATCCTGCTCTTACACGACTTCCAAAGGCAGCTTTGTTCTCTGTTCCCCACATTTTTCTTTCCACTGGTCCTTCTTTGTTTCTTCTTATCTCAAACTCTCCTCTGTTACTTTAGAAAGGAAGTGAGGTATTTAAGGACAGATAAAGGCTTAGAGTACTATACCCTAAGCTCAGAGCATTATTCATTTGACTGTCTCTTTAAGCTTAGTCCACATTTCCTCAGTCTGACCTACTTCCTGCTTTCTCTCCACACATAAGCAAAGCAGATGGAGGCATCCCCAGTCTCTAAGCATAGCAGCCTTTTTTTTTTTTGATTCTTTGTTTCCCCTTACACTGCTCCTTCATCCTGACTTTCATCTCTACACTTCTAGCTAGCTTATATGAAGACTTCAAGATCCTGTGCAGATATTACATTCCCACAAAAACCTTCCTGAATGCTCTTTTTTTCTTTCTGAGTGCTGGCAGACTTCAGCTCCTGTTTTCTTTAGATCCATGGTCACTCTGATTTCTTGCTCTTGGTTTCTGAGAAGTTATTGCTCATACAGCCCCAGCATTTACCTAATAAAGTCTTACATAGAAGGTTCTCAGTCCATAATTATATAAGAAAAACATTTGGTATTTAAAAATTCCAACAGTGAAACTTATGTTCTTGAGAAATAAAAGTATAAAAGATATAAATTAGTTCAGGTGATGTGCTAAGTAGGGAGGAATATTTTGAGGATGATGGTTTTCTGGAGTTATTCAGATCCTATCAGAAGAGCCAAGGTTCTTTAGCTACTCTGTTTTCTGACCTATTTCAGGCTGTACCATCCGAATAGCCCAAGGCAAGATCACCAGCTTATTAATGCTCTACAGTACTAATTACTCTCTAGTCACTCTTAATACTGGAAAGGGCATCTTCTGTCAGGGCAAAAAAGAGAAAGCCAATGAACCTTTGGAGAAAAACTGCTCCACAATAGCTGTATTGATCTCCAAAATGAATTCCTATAACAGGTCTCGTAGTGACCTGGATGTTTGTTAACAGAATCAATGCATTTATTATTCCATTAGATTTGCAAAATGAACTCTCTAATGGTAGATGAAAGAGGGTTTATACCAAGGATGGAGTAGTAATGGCACTAGGAGAAGAACACAAGTTTGTTTTTTTTTTTTTGTTTTTTTTTTTTTTTTTTTTTTTTGCCTGAGACGACACAGGAGAGGTATAAAAAGAAATCCTTTGATAAGCTTCTATATTCTCAGTTGACTTTCTGGCTTCCTCTTGCTCGGTCTACATCTTCCATCCTCAGAATCTTGTTCTAGACCTTCCTATAACTTCCCTCTGACACTAAAGCCTTTCCCTGGAGGATATTGCCTATTACCAAGCTTTTAATACCAACCAAGTAATGACAACTCTTATACTTCAATCTCTAGCTCAGTTCTTCCTGGGCTTCCTACTGTACATCACTCCCTACCTGGTGTGTTCTTCCTTTATACAGCTTATCAGCTGGTTAAGATCAGCAACGTAAGCCAATCTCCTCCTTAGTTCTGTGCTTTCTGTCTCAGAAAAACACATCAGCACCTCTTCCCATCAGTTATCCAAGCCAGAAACCTAGTTATCATCCATGACTCTGCCTTGCTTCTCAACAATCATGTCAGTCTGTCACTGCCTCACTTAGCAATGGCTTCCTGTTCTCCTTAAGACAATTTGCAGAGCTCTGTCTCTTTTGAGAACTATCTTCTTGTTTATTTATTCACTGTGTTTCTTACCAATGCTCCTTGCACTTTAGAGGATTTCCAGGAACATACCAATCTCTACCTCATCATTAGCTCCTTGTGCATTAGAGTGCAAACTTAGTGAAGTCAGAGATTCCAACACTTTCATAATAGCTGTGGCCTTGTGTCATGCCTACTGAATCATACAGCTTAATATTTATTGACCAAACAAATAAAACACATCAGATAATAAAGCACTACTTCTTCAGTAACAGTTACTGATTTGTCATTACATTTAGGATAAAGGCACCTTGATTTGACAATGAAGGACATTTTGTCATACCAGTATATTTTGTCTTGTTACACAGTGCCTCCCTCACCTTCTGCAAGGAATTATTGTTCTGTGTGTACAGATAAAAGGAATGATGATCTTTGTCCTTGCAGCCCTCTGCCTTAAGTGTAGACTGGAGTCAGTTCCGTGACTCAGTATATTTATTTGCAGTTCTTTTGTCTTTCGGAGTCTCAGTTTCCTTATTTATAATTCAACAAGGGACTTGGAAGACACAGGAAATCTTTATTGTCTTTATTTACTTATTCATTTAGGTATGTTTGTGTTGGGAGCTGGTTATGTATACTTCAGTGCACATGAGGAGGTTAAAGGTGCCTACATATAGAGGATCTCTACATAGTGAGGTCCTACATAGTAACATAAAAACAAAACACCAATAAAACATCTCTGCCTGAATTTATGTGATTATCTCCTGGTGCCTGGCATTTTGGGAGTTGCCTTTCCTTCTACCATATGGATCTGGAGGTGGGTGGGATGGGGAAGAGTGGTGAAATCAGACTGTCAAACTTGGCATCAAGTGACCTTACCTGCTGAACCTTCTCACAGGTTTGAGAGAGAGAATCTTGACAAGTGGGGTATATGTAAGCTTACATGTTGCAGCCATATGGCACATGTTCCAATTGTCTCTTTCGCCAGTACCTATAACTACTTCAGCACATTCAATACATATTTATCGAATGAGTGAGTGTACTGAATAAATAAAAAGATTTTTCCTAGCACAGAAACCCAAATGTGTCTGTTCCTTGTGATCAAGCTCTATATTTTATATGTTAATAAGATGAAGCAGTCATTCAGACTGAAAAGGTTGTATGTATGTATTTAGGAATCAATATAAATGCATATACACATACATATGCAACAACAATGAATAAAGAGGGCATGGATTTGAAAGAGAGCAAGGAGAGTGATATGAGAGGGTTTGGAGGAAGGAAAGAAAAGGGGGAAATAAAAGAACTATGTTATAATCTCAAAAAGAAAAGAGACAACAACAAAGCATGCATATGCATGTGTTTGTGCATGTGCATGCGCACACACACAAAACAACAACAAACCCCTCAAAAGACCACCCCCTCAAATCAAATGAACTCCAAGCTTCACCCAAGGCCTTCTTGGTTATTTTAATAATAATAATAATAATAATAATAATAATAATAATAATAATAAAATTGGATTCAGCTTACTGGAATAAGGTCTTCTTACTCTGGACACAGAGGTACTGTACTCTGTAGCCCCAGCCTGTGCACTATAGAGAGAGCACTGTGAGGGGCTGCCTTCACTCTCTCTGTCAGCTGTAGGCAGGACATCAGCCTGCTTGGGTTTTGTGTTGTTCTGCTTTGTTCATTATAGCTATTCCTTTCAGGTAGCAATTGGCTTTGGTAATTGGAGTATGTTT